CAAGGCAGGGGAAGGACAGGGCCCGTGCCTGGAGCCCGCTGACTGTTCCTTCACCCTGGAGACCACAGGGGTAATCAGCTCACAGAGCCATCCCGTGTCAGGCATTGGGTCCCCACCCTAAGGTTCTTGGGGAGAGAAGGAGCCAGCACCAGCCTCACCCAGGGCCAGGCCAGCAGCCAGACACGAGGGGACCCCTGCCTCAGGAGGCTGAGCACCCCATGTCTGAGGCTCTCTGGCTGCCTGTCCCCTGGGTAGGTTTCCCCAGAGGCAGCCCTGTCCTCCTGCTACAGCTGAATTGTGTTCCCGCAAAATTCCTATTGAGGCCCTGGACCCAGCACCTCAGAATGTGACTGTATTTGGAGACAAGGTTTTATCAAGGTGATTAAGTTAAAATGAGGCCGTTAGGGTGGGCCCTAGTCCAGTCTTACCAGTGTCTTTGTAAGAAGAGATTTGAATACAAAAAGAGAAACGAGGGACACTCACAGACAGAGGGACCATCACAGGAAGAGGCGGCAGGAGGGTGGCCATCCCCAAGCCAAGGAGAGAGGCCACAGGGAAACCAACGCTGCTGCTACCTCATCCAGCCTCCAGAACGGTGGGAAAGTAAATTTCTGTAGTTCAGGCTGCCCAGTATTTTGTTGCATCAGCCCTAGCAGCTAAGACGCCCCCACCCTCCAGCAGGGGGGCCTTCTCTTCACATGCTCCCAGCTGAGCCTCACAGTGGGTCAGAGCCCCAAGAGCCACGATAAGCCAGGCAGAGACCCTTGGGCTCGACCCCACCCCTCAGCTGCCCACCTGGTCTCCTCCAGAAATTTCCATCTGCCTGCAGGCCAGTCGGTGAGCCAACCAAGTCAGGGCTGTGCGTGGGTCAGGAACCCAAGATTCCAAGGCAATGAGAAGGGACTGGGCAATGGGGAGGCTGGGAAACAGGACAGAGAAGCCTCCCAGTGGCAAAGCCAAAGGGCATCGGGGCTGCAGAGCAGGCACCCTCACCATTCCTAGCCCTCTGCCACAGCACTACTTGTAGACCCCAGTTTCCCCTCTACACTCGGGCACCCCCTCTTAGAACTCAGAGAGAAAACAGGGGCTTGAAAGGAGAATAAATGCATGGAATGGAAAAACTACTCATCAAAATACCCACCTTTCCCTCAGTGCTAACTACTTGTGAGTCTCAGTTCCAAAAGCCTTGGTGTGTTTTCTCTTAATCAGCACAACCACCCCTGAGATTAGCTACGTGTGTCCCCCTCTGACACATGGGATTGAAACACCGAGAAGTTAAAGTGGCTTGGGAAAGGCCTCGCAGCTATGAGGTAATGCTGGGCTTTGAACTCGGTCTAACTCCAGTGTTTCTTGAAGTGGGGGTGGGAGGGAGGCTGGGATCTGACCCCACTGAGGCCCCAGCCTACGTATGGTCAGTAAGGCTAGAGTCAGCCCAGCACAGGGCTTCAGGGACAACAGCAGCTGAACAATCCACCTTGTCATCAGTTGATCAAATGATAAACACAGGACTCCATCTGTGGGAAAGACTGCGACCTCCTACCCTCCTGCACATGGGGCAAACAGTTCGGACAGCATTAGAGGGGCAGAGCTACCCTAAAGGTTTATCTTTGGTCTGTACCCTGGAAAATGAAACCAGGAAGGGGGCAGGAAAAGCAGGGGGCAGCCTCCATCAGAGGTAAGTCACAGGAGCCGCCAGTGAGGGGCCCGGGCTGTGCGCGACGGCCAGCAGGCCCACAAGGCTGTTTCCCCTCGTTAACAAGTCTGCAGGCCAGCCGACCTTGGCTTGGTGTTGATGACAAGAGGCAAACTGGGAAGGGGAGGGAGGCACGGGGTGGCTACAAGCCCAGCTCTGCCAAGAATTCCATTATCTTGGGAGAGCCATTTCCCGCTGCAGGCCTCGGGCCCCCTTTGTTGGCACAGGAGAGCCAGCGTTCTCCCCTCTGAGCTCCACGGGGATGAGAGTCAAGTGAGGGGGGCTTCGTACAAACCCAGGAAGTCTTACTTCACCCTCTTGATAAAACGAGGAAACCAAAGCCTGCCCCATCTCTGGTCTCCAGGCTTCCTTCCACCTCACCTACCAGCCCACCCTACACTACAGGACTCCGCCACAGGGAGGTGCTGGGGGGAAATGGAGACAAAGTGGAGGTGCTCCAGAAGCAGGGGGTCCCTCTGGATCCAGGCATTCCCACGCCTTCCCAGGACTTCTGTACCCCATGGGTTGGCCCAGGGATCTGCCAGAGCTGAGGCAGTGGAGGCATTAAGTGGTTCCCTGGGCTCCGACCCAGGGCCTCGCTGGCTCCTTGGAGTGTTCCACCCACCCTGCGGAACTGGTGCAGAGCTTGCATCGCCACTACACGAAGGGTTTCCTGAATGCTTTCCTGAGGACATTGTTCCCCACTCCAGAGTCATCAGGGTCAAATTCATCACAGGCCTTGCGGGTCCAGGCCCCACCCAGTGGGGAAAGCCAGCCCCGTGTCCAGGCCCTACTTCCCCTGGGAAAATTAAGCCAGTGGCTGCTTGTGATGCAGCTCATTACCAACCCTGGGGAGGCAAAGCTGTAGCACATCACTGCTACCGTTAGCGCAAGGCTGCCAGGCAGCTCAAAGCCACACCTAGAAGCCCCAGCTGCATCTTCCAAAGAGGCTTGTCTCCACGTCCAGCCCCAGGACCTGTTCCACCCCTGAATCACACTCAGGGACCTCTTAATTCAATCAACATTTATTGAAAATGACTGTGAGACCCTCTGCGAGAATGAGGGAGGTAAGGCTTAGTGCCTGGTCTCAAGGAACTCAGACTAGGGGGAACCGACACATGCCACCAGAGCCTTGTAATAAATGCTGCAGCAGAAGGAACACAGGACCAGAGAAGCAGAGAGCAATCTCTGCGTAGGGAGGTGGGTATGGACCTACTTCTGCTGAATCTTGTAGCCTAATAGTTCACCAGGTAGCCTAGGAGACATGATGTGCTCAGGAAATGGCAAAAACTAGGTTCTGCCCTGGGGATGATGGGAAAGAGTCTGGGGCAAGATGGTAAAAGACTTTACATGGTATGCAAGGGGCCCTGGTGGGAGGTACCACAGAGGGCTTTAAGGAGTGACCTCATCAAAGATGTGTTTAAGAAATTAAAGTGCTGGCAGAAATGGGAAGAATTTTCAGGAAGAGACCAAAAGTTTAGGCGAAAGATGATGAGGGCCTGAAGCAGGAAAAGTGAGATGGAAACCAGAGGATGAATTCCAGGCACAGAAGCGGGTCACTGTAGGGTGGCAATGGAGCCCATGATGGGGGTAGCAGGAGTCAGAGACAACGTGAGTGGCAGGACAACACGCTGCGTGCTTGACAAATATCCTCTCAATCTTCACAACTTTGGGAGGCAGATGGAACTATCCCCATTTTACAGATGATCCTTAGAGAAGTCAAGTGACTTTTGTAGTCACCACTAGTCAGTTAAATAAGCTCAACACTTTTAACCATCATACTAGACAGGAAATCTAGGCAGAGATGAATAGTAAGCTGTTTCAGAGTGAGCTGGAGTTCAGAGGGAAATTCCCAGCTTGAGAGACTTTGGGTTTCATCTAGGTAGATACAGGTGGTGGTTGTAGCCACAGATGAGGCTAAAACTCTCCAGCAAGTAAAAGGCCCCGGGTGAAACCAGAAGAACCCTCACATTTAGAACAGGGGAGAGCGGTGGTAGGGAAGAGAGCTGGCAGAAGGATCTGAGGTGGTGGTGGTGTCAGGAGAGAATTCCGTGAAGCGTGCTGCAAAGGGCTAGACTATGATGGGGCCTGGGACGAGGACACAAGATGAGCAATTCCAAAAGGCTTTTGGCCCAAATGGCTTCACCACTGTAGTGGTGGAGGCAGAGAACAAGTAGGAAAGGGCTCAGAAGAGTGCAGGCATGGGGCTGGGGAGCTTAAGGAGCTTGGTATAGAAAAAGGTCACCTTGAAGGTTGCATGCAAAGTCCCGAACAGCACCAGGCAGAATGATTATGCAAATTTCTCTAGCTGCACTTGGCAGCTCAGGCCTGAAGCAAATAGAAATGGACAGTAGAGCCAGGGCTGGAAGCGAGGCAACAAGGGCAGGGGAATGGAGGGTAAGGACACAAAGGACTTCGAACTCTTCTAGACAGAAGAGCTGCCCTTGCTGGGATTTCAGTAAAGACTTTTTTAAATCTCAAATATTTGGAGGCCCCATCTGGAATTTTGAAACAAAAAAGCAAAGGCAAGGTTTACCTTTGCATTATGTAAAACGGATGTGATAAATAGATAACTAATGTTAACAAATTTAATCCAGAAAGAATAAAGTGTTTTAAGTATATCAGAGGCACCACTGGAACAGGATGCAAACTGATACATGAATTACTAATTACTCTTCTTTACTTGTAAAGCTGATTCCCCCAAAGACTTCTATTTAGCAAATACTCTGAAAGACTGTGTACAGAAAGGGAATAAAAGAGCACTTACTTCTGTTTCATTATTCAGATTGGCTGCCATCCCAATTCAATAAACGTGAAGGTCCACTGGGATAGTACCTAGTACTTAAATGCTTGCTAGGCGCTCTCTAAACTGGCTTCTCACTCTTTTTCCACTACTGGCAGGAACATATGAGTAACCCCATTTTACAGATGGGGACACCAAGGCCAGGAGAGGTGAAGGGGCATGTCTGAGATCACACAGTTCTTTCGCCTCCAAGCTCAGGGCTCTTTCCTCTACCCACTCTCCTGATGCGTGACACTCTTCGGAATTCTGCAACAACTTGCTCCCCGCTTCTCATTTCTGACCTTGCAGACTTGGCAACACAGGGCTGCGCCTGAATCCCCCAGGCAGCTTGGTTCCTAAGCAAGGCAGTCCATTTTGTAAAATATTCCTAAGAAGCCCTCAACCACCAGGGGAGGGTCCGTTATCATTCCCCCAGCCAAGGCTGCTCTTGCTTTTGGATCCCCATCTCACCAGGATCACGAGGATACATGCAACTATTTCAGGAAATGTAGGCTTTTCCTGCAATAAAGTGAAGGCACCTAACATTTATTGAGCAATTGTTGTTGGTTACCATGGACTCTGCTGAGAAATTTACATGTTACATTAGTCTCCCAACAACCCAACAAAAACAGATATTCTAATCCCCATTTTACAGATGAGGACACTGAGGTTCATACAGTCTAAGTGACTTAGGTCATCAAGATAGCTGTTGTGGAAGTATTCATAACTCACATCTGTCGGACTCTAAAACCCGCTGTTTTTACTCTACCACCTTGTCCTGGCTCCCCGTTCTACAAGTGCCCAGAGACCCACACCAAAGTGGAAAAGGGAAAGTGAGGCAGACAGGAGCTTTTGCATTTTCACTGTCTGACTCCCAAGCAACTCCAGGCTAATCCTACAGTGTTTCAGCCCAGCACCCTGGGAAGCTGACAAGAGTCAAAGGGCTCCCTCCCAGGCTTGTCCTGGCAGCTGCCCAGCTGACTTGTGCTAACACAGCAGCAGGCACAGGAAAGGCTCTAGAGAGTGGAAAAGCACCAGACACTGGGCCGCTGAGGAGAAGTGATTCCTGCCACACTCAGACAGGATAACCCTGCTCTAAAGCCACCACTGTCACTGGCCTGGGAAAAGCCCCAAGGGAGGGGGCAAGCAAAAAGCCCCAAGCACATCTACTTACTCACTGGATTCAGTGAATCGTGACTGTTTAGCCCATCCCAAAGAGGGGTCACGTGCCTCCAAGGTGAGATGAGCAAACATGGAAGGAAACCAGTCTGTGCCCTGGTTCATCCCAGCAACCCTGGCCTGCTTTGCCCACATCCACAGCAACCCTGTTACTTAATGTCCCCGGAGCTAAGGCAAGAACCACAGGCACTATCTTACAGCTCCCCAAGCAGCCGATCTCAACCAGCCATGGGAAAGCAGGATCCAGCTGAAGGTATTAATAGACTTGCTGGAGGCAGACATTCAGGGAGGGCAAGTCCCAGGAAATGAAATTATTTAAAAGGGGGCATAAAGTGAAACGGAAGAAAGGAGCAACTTGAATTTCCAAAAATAGGGTCTCTTTTACAGGCAATGGGAGGCGGTACCTCAGTGGTGACAGGATTAATCTAAAATATCTGAAAATCCGTAACTGTCTCAGTCTGTGGGAAAAGTTTTTTGTGTTGTTTCTGTAGCTTTTTTGTCCTCAAATCTTTCACGTAGGCAGGTATCAAACGACATTTATAAAGGATGCCCAAGTGTTTTGAGGGAAACTAATCCTGGAATCTAGTATTTGCCACAAGTTGCTAAATTGCTTAAATAAAAGCATACCTCTCAAATTTCATTAGAAGAGGGGGCAGTTTGAGAGGTGGCAAACTGCCAGCTGCTAAGTCAGATCAACCCCCATGCATGTTACTATGCTTAGAATCTTTTTAAAAATTAATTGCTGACATTTAAAAATCAGATGTTTCCACAAAAAAAAAACACAAGATCTGATTTCTAGCGTCTTTTAGAAAAATAAATAAAAATCTGGTATCTCTGGGCAATCAGTACAAATTGGTAAGAAGCTGCACAGCCAACGCCCCCTTTAAGCTACCCTGTGCTTCCTAGACCCTGGCCTGGCGGGCTCTTTCAAACCACCCAACTGAGCCTGTGGGCATCTGCATTTGCTACTCTGGGTTGAGCCAAGCGAAGGCCTGCCTCCCAGGCCTGGTTATGCTCAAGACTGCCACACGGTGGCAGCACTGTAACCCAGCCAAACTTAGACTATCCTTTGAGAACCAGAAATCTCATCCTTACTTCAGGAGCAGACACTCCTTCCCCACAATTCCTCGTCAGGTTTATTTCCCTAGAAGCAAGAGCAGCTCATTTCAACAATGCCACTAGACTCAGCCAAAGGGGAAGCCACCCACTTGATCTGACCCCTCCTCTCTGGCTACCACCACCCTCTACATCCTCCCAGCTCCTCCCACTCCACAACGAGCATCCCTACTTGATTTGGAATTCCACCTTCACCCACCTAATAACACCATCAGGCCTCAGATCCTGAGATCAGAAGCAGGGCAAACACCCTCCCCTCCCCTCCCCTTAAAGGCAATTCGTTGTTCACCAAATATTCATCACTTGCCTTTGCTCACTTAGGTGTCAGACTTCATGAGACAATAGGTTCTTAAGCCTCTTCCTGCCCTCTGCTCTCACTCCCCTTCCACCCCCACCACCACCGTAGCATTTAATATAAACTCCTACAGCCCTCAGGAAGGACATTTGTTATTATGCATTAAGAACCTTAATACTGCTCATCACATTTCATCCAAAATACCATTTACTGTTCCTACTGTTATTCCAAAATGCAAGAAAAGGCTTATGTAAGATATTCACTGCAACATTTATGCTAGTGAACAACCAGAAATCCAAATGTCTAGCGATCAGGAAATTAAAACAAAACTATGTTCTATTCCCACTTGATGGGCAATTATGCAGCCACTAAAAACAATTATGATGACAATGTGATAAGATAGAAAAAGACTATAAGATGAAAACTATGTGAAAAAAAGAAAATAAAATTAAATGTACAGTAATGACATCTAAAAACTATGCCAAGAATTAGTGGAAGATAACAAAATGTTAACTCTTTGGTTGTGCTAGAGCCCTGAAGTGTAGATGATCCTTTTCTTAATCCCTACCAAGTGTTCTGTAATATACATATATTACTTTTATAGGGAAGTATGTGTGTGTGTATAATTGGAAAATTTGATAGCACTTGTTAAGCTTCCTGATCTACTCAAGTTTAGACTCTGAAAGTTCCTCTAAGCCTCTTGTAGTCTTGATAAAAAGGCTCTTGGGAACCTGCACCTCCAGGATCCCACGCAACCACGCTAATAATGCTTCCAGGGCCCCAGAGGCCTTCGCTAAACGTCAGTGTTACCCTGCCCTGAAATGCCTGCACTTGCCAGCTCCTCAGAAGACCCCAAACACCATCTAGAAGATAGAATTAGGTCAATATGGTTCTCAAATGCCACTTTAATCAAGTTTTGCACTATACAGTAATGGGACGGGGGTGGTGAAAGATGGAGACTGTCTTCAAGCAAATTTCCCTGCCCCACAGTGAACAGCCTGGGCTTCCAAGTACAGAAAACTTTCCTTCCTTGGGGAATCCCACTCCTGAGCTGACAGGACAGGATTTCAAGAATGAGCATAAAGGACAGGGCAAACTAGTAAAGGAAGCCAGGTAGACTTCTGAACTCTTCCCAGTGCCTCCTGGACCTGGGCGTGTAGGTGCTCCTCATAAAGGCAGCACCCCAACCCCAGCCACTCTGTGAGGCCAAACCACCTCCCCACAGAGCCTGACAGCCAACGTTCATTTCACAACACTCCTCGCAGCAGTGCACCCAGAAGCACAGAAGCCTCAGCAGCTGTGGCCCCCCCTACAACAAGTGTGGCCCTCAGGCCAGAACCCTCAGGGCCTTCCTCTTTACTGGCCCCTCGGCTGCTCTCGAGTCTGCCTGGCAACAGAAAAGCAGCCAGTATGTGTGGCTGGGGGGTACAGGAGGGGCCAGAATAAGCAGCAAAGCAAATCAGATGTGGGTTCTGAGACCAGGTCGGCATGGTGGCAGGACCAGTCCAGGCCCACAGAAGGACCCAAGTGTTGTCATATTCTCCATTAATTCTTCTCCGGGCGGTTTCTGTTCAGCACAGCTTTAGGGGCAAATTCCAGCTTGTCCTTAAGGCTCACCACCTGGGTGTGGTCCTTGCCTAGCAGCTCATCCAGCTTGCGGTCCTCCCGGCGCTCTGAGATGCTCTTCTCCTCCTCCACAGGCTGGGGATCCTTTCCCCTGATGAACCATTCCAGGTGATAGCCCACAGCCCCGACCACAAAGGCCACAGGAAACGTGACATAGGGAGCATAGGTACGCACCACGGTCCAAAGCACAGGCCACATGACATCTGCAGAAGAGCACAAAGCAGCATTAGAGAGAAACCAGCACCCCCGTCTCACCAGTATGGACCTCCCACCAAGGCTCTCCATTTACCAGGCAGCCTGGCAGTTTACTAAACCATTCACCTGATACAGAGTAATGCAAGGGGTCACCTTGCTTTATGTGACAGCTGGGTCCCTGAAACAAACTAGGAAATTCTGGAAGATTCAATTGTTAGGGAAGTGGGGGTCGAATCTCTATTTTATGTACTGTGCTCTTTAACAGTTATGCAACCATGCACAACAGTGTTCCCCGTGAGGGGACCTCTGAGCCTCACCCAGTAAAGCCTCAAGCCTGTTGCTGATCCAGGCCCTCCTCCCACAGTTCGCCAACATTTTAAGGATGGGAAGGAGCCTTTCTTTGCTCTACTCAATTTCTCCACGAGTACAGCCAGCCACCCTTTCTTACCACGTACAATCCTACTGAGTGTCTCCTGGCTCCAGGATAATGAGCAATTCTTTGCTAATAGAATAAGTAGAATAAAAGAATATGAAACATATTTGAGCACCCAAAACTAAACCACTACCCAACCATTCTGGATTTTAGATAATGATTTATTCCCATTCTGAACTCGATTTTTCCAACAAGACAAGTTATACTTCACAAATTTGTTGGCTAAACCCCTTTCAAAATATACTCTCTTCAAATCACATCCTCACATTTGCATAATAAGCTCCTAAAAATATCACCAACCCATTAGACATACTCTGGGCACACTACAACTTGAAAATTCTCTATAAAACACTGTATAAGGCATGGTAGGGGGAAAAAAAAAGGAGAATGGCTCTGGAGCCTCCTGAAATGAAGAAAACACCAATAATTTAAAAACACACAACCTGGGTCACATTAATAGCCATTTAGTCTCAAACGATTATACCATTATTAACAATTACTGAAGACCATTCACAATTACCATGATAGCTACCATTTATTGAACACTTATTATATGCCCGACCTTGGATTAAATGTTACATACCCTATCTCCTTTAATCCTCATGTCCACTCCATGAGGTAGTTGGCATTATCAGAGGGTTAAGTTATTCACCCAAAAGTCTCAACTAGAAGATTATTGTGTGCCCATAACTGCTCATTATCCTGGAGCCAGGAGATACTCAGTGGGACTGTACATGGTAGGAAAGGGTGGCTGGCTGTACTCATGGAGAAATTGAGTAGAACAAAGAAAGACATCCTTCCCATCCTTAAAATGTTGGCAAACTGTGGGAGGAGGGCCTGGATCAGCAACAGGCTTGAGGCTTTACTGGGTGAAGTTCAGAGGTCCCCTCATGGGGAACACTGCCGTGCATGGGTATTTTTCCAACTTGGCTATCTCTGGTCTAAAGTGAACAATCGAAACCTCAACAAGGGTAAGATGACTCTCTCTCTCTCTCTCTTTGGTTCCAGTTCTCTTTGGAGGAATCCCAGCAGTTCGTGGACTCAAGACTGTAATGGAACATTATCAGGGAAAAACTGCAGCAGCTCCAAGATTGTCCTCTGGAGTCTTCATCTGAGCACCAGACACTGTGCTGGACAAGTCACACACTAGTCATCTGATCTTCACCACACCTCTATGAGGCAGGAATTATTTGTCCAAATTTTTATCTAAGGCCACAAAGGCTCAGGGACATTATGTTAATTTGCCCAAGATCACTAGAAATGACAGAACCACTGATTTGAACCCACACCTGTCCAACTTCAACATCTGTGCTCTTTCTTGTGTTAAAAACACACTGTAGATAGGTGCATGGACTTGGGGAGAGTTTCCTGAAATGTTTTTTCCATCATGTTGTTACTTCACTACCTAGGGCTTCCTTTTTTGCTAACTCTCATACTCAGAGATTTGTGAAACTATAAGATTTAGAAGTTGTTAAAAGGCACCCCTGAAGAACCTCAAACCTAATACTTGTCCATTTTCTTTGCTACTTAAGCGAGTTCTCTCAGTAAACTTTTGCCCTAAACTGCAACTCTCCACTCAGATTTTCAGTTTGTCTTAAAACATATCAAGCACGAATCCACAACAAATATTATCTCACACCCAGCACAAGACCTCTGTTGCACTGCTCACATTCTAGTCTTTCCCAAGTCAGTCAGTTCATTCCTTTATTCAACACGTGTAACCACATTCTGTGTCAGACACGGTGCTGGCCTACCCCACTTGTCAACATTGCTCCAAACATTTTAAGCCCCAAGGGGGCTAAGACGATGTCTGTGCGGTCCCACTGTGCTCTGTCCATACCCCACCCTTTTCTCTCCACCTGGCATAAACCGCTCCAAAAGAATTTGTTTCATGAATTAATGATAGCTCAAGCAACGCACTGGTGGTGTAAAACCTCAGCAGTGATCCACCCACCGGCCCGCGAAAGGCTGTAGGAACACATCAGGTTACAAAAGCTGATTGCAAGAAGCTAGATACTCTCACAAGTCATCCCCAGGGTATCAAAAGTGTCTCGCAAATACCGGGACGCAAATTTCCAGCCCGGCGTGGAGGGGGCCTGAGCGTCCGGTAAAGGTCAACCGGGCTTCCGGGAAACCTGCCCCGGTGCCGGAGGCCCAAGGAGACCTGAGGCCGCAGTCCGAGGTTCGAGAATTACTTACAAGGACAAAGGAGACCTGGGAGGGTGGAGGAATTAATCCCAACCGTCTCCTGGGCCTGGGCCTGGGAGAGCGTGAGATCCAAGTCCAGGTATCTACCCTTCTCCCTCCTCTGAGCTCGGGTGCCCTGCTCCTATCCCACCACGGTCTCGTCGGCGTCCGTCCTCACCACGTGCCTGAGGCCGAGATGTCCCGGCCGCAGACAGTGGCTGGGAGTCCAGACCCGGCCTCCGCGCCCCAGGAAGAGACGCGGTCAGGACTGGCCGGGGCCGGAACGAACACTCGCGATCACCCCTCCGCTACTTCGGAGGTCACGGCTAGAACCGTCACTGTGGCCACGGGCGCCCCTGCAGCGCTCGTAGGGCAGGAACTCGCCGCCGGAACCGGTTGCTCACCTGCGCCGCAGCCCGCACTCTTCCGTCCGGCTCCTGCCCGCTCGCCCGCCCGCTGCACCGACGTCGACACGCCCACAGGCCCGTGGGCCTCGCCGCGGGCCCCGCCCACCGGCTCCCGCTCTCCTAGAGCGCTGGGATTGGCTGAGCTCCGGCCAAGGACTGGAGGAAGCTAGACTTTAGCAAGGGGCCCCCGGGCGCCGAGTGGGTACCGCGCCCCCTAGTGGTCAGGAGGTCTCCCAGTGACGTCACTACGGGCTTTTCATAGGGAGAAAGTGGAAAGTTATTCATTTATTCAACTGATGTTTATTAGGAATCTTCTAAGACCTAGGTCTGCGCACACAAAAATAAGACATGACCGTTGGCCTCAAGAAGGTCTCCTTATCAGAATATAGTCAAGAACTCTTAGGACCTGAGCTAGGTTTTTAGCCGTGTGACCTTGGGAACATTACTAATCGGTCTGAGCCTCCTTTCCCTCTTAAACATAAAAGCAATAACATCTACTACACACGATGTTGTGAGGGTGAAATGAGATAAGGTATATAAAGTGCTGTGCCAGGCACATAGCAAGCAGGGAAATAAATGACACTACTGTTAGCGCACAAATAACTGGGAAATAGTAAAACCTGTCTTGCCTGACCCCTCAGCTACAAGTATTCATTCCCTCCTGCATCCCCACTGCACACCTACAGACATCTGTTCGATCAGGTATAAAAAAAATAACCAAAGCTCAAACTCTGTAAAATATCTCCACTTAGCCCTGCTTTTTGACCCTCATTCCACTAGTCCCAGCCAGACATATTTAACCCCTCATATACCCCATGCAGACCAAACTGTTTTACACTTCTCTGCCTTCATTTATACTTTTTCATCTACCTGAAGTGCCCTTCCCACCTTTCTTTACCAAAGTAGCTCTGGGTCATTTTTCAAGCCTAAGGGACACCTCCATAGGAAGCCTCCCAGACTGCATTATCAGGTGAGTTACCCTTCTTCTGTGAGCTCAAAGAGCCCACTGCTAAGCTTTGGCAAGGAATGGTATAAAGATATGTGTAGGAGACCATTATGAGCAGAACTTGTTCACTAATGGTATGTGCAGAAAGGAACAGAACGGTCTACAATAACTAGCATTCAGTAAGCCAATTAACATGTGCTAGGCCCTGGGGATGCAAAAAGGACTGGGAGTACCCCTGCCCTCAGTACTCTGACAAATGGGGAAGCAGAGGGATCTACAAAATTTGAGAGCGTGTGGACATTTGACCAGAAGTATGCATGCACAAGTAGTACAGAGGAGGAGCCCCACAAAGAATCACAGAAAGCTTTCTGCAGGAACCTGCTCTTGAGCTGGTTTGGAGTGATGGCCTAGCATTTCTGTCAGACAGAACTGAATGAGGCTCAAGCGCAAACTTAGGAACCAGAGAGACATGGGTTCAAATCCTGCCTCTGCTGCCTGCTAATCTCAGAAAAGCTATTTACACTCCTTGTTTTAAAAGACAATAATAGTACTCACCCCCTAGGGTTATTCTCTGTCACCTAATGTGTATAAATGCTTGGCACAGTCCCAGCACCTCCTAAGTGCTCAGTAAATGCTCACAAGTAGGTTTAGTGTTCCCCAAGTTTATTCCTCCTTCTGCAATGTCCTAGGTCCATTTATGGCATTACTTATTCACTAAGCCAAAAACTCAAGTAACATCTTCCAGGCCTCTTTACCTTTGCATTATTCCCCAGATCCAGCTAATAGCCCCTATGCCTCCTGAATGTCTCTCACGCATCATCATCTCTTACTTCGACCACTTTATCAACTCCCTCACTGGTCTCCCTGACTTCCTTTGCCCCCTCCAATCCATTTTCATTCTGTCGGCCAAAGAAAGGATCTTTGCTTAAATAAAATCATGAAATATCGTTTAAATCCTGTATCTCCCCTACTATGGTTCCCTTCTTGCCACATCTCCACTATGCCCACTGCAACCCTGTCCTCACCAGTCACCCTCTCCAGTCTCTGCTCTCCCCATGATCCTATACAAACATATCCTTCATGCCTTTGCCCAACCTCATCCCTTTTGTCTGAAGTGAATGTCTTTTCTTTTTCTAATCATTGGCTACAAAACTCTAATTCATCCTACAAGACCCAAAAACCCATTTAAAAAGGACCCTCTCTTGCTTTCCCAGATTTCTCCTGCTTTCCTTTCCCTGCCTGCTAGGGACTCCCTCTCCTGGTTTCCTCAGCCCCTCTGGGAGAGCAAGCCTCCCTTTGGGCTGAACCTTTCTGTTTATGGCCCTCCAGCACAGGGACTGGATCTAATCCTTCACTTGTCCAAGGAGCCCAGCACAGCTAACCAGGCCACAACACCCAAAGGGGACTCCCCCCATATCAGACCCACATGGGGAGACTTTAGACATCATGTCTGTAGCAGGCTGCCCACACAGTCACGTTAACCCTGTTCCTCCATGCCCACTCCTATATACCTCATGGTTCTGTTAAACCCAGCCCAGTACCTGGTAAAAGATATAGACCCCTGAAAGACTGTTCAATGGAAAGTTAGACTCCTTACTTCCCAGCTTCACGATTTGGGGTAATTTAAACTCTCCAAGCCTTGTTTTCTCATCTGTAAAATGGTAGTGATAACATTACATGCTTCATAGGATTGCTCTTAAGTATCATGTAGTTCAAACCTCACCTATTTCCCAATTTTAGAGATAAGAAAAACTGAATCTCAGAGACATAGAGTCACCCAGCCAAAGCCTCACTTGATGAGTCTAGAGGCAACAAATAAGCACTTCTCATAGAACTTTTGGAAGTCATCCAATCTAAGTTCCCAAACCTGGCTGTCCTCAGAATCACCTGGCACACTCGTTAGAAATTCATTTGAGGGCAGAGAGTCTAACTGCTAAGTCTTGGACAGGTCCCAGGAATCTGGGATCAGCTTCAAGCTGATTCACTTTTGGGAATTCGGATCACATGAGGATCCTCTCCACCTTCCAGTGGTCTCAGGTGAGTGTGTGTGCATGGCCTGTGGCTCGTCAAGTGATCTCTCAAAGCAGCCTATACAATACCTGCTCATGCCACTCTCCTGCTCAAAACCCTTCTGCGGCTCCCCATGGTCCCCAGAACCCAGGCCCACCCTCCTCAAATTGACTCAAAAGCCCATCATGATCATGCCTCCACACTCCCAGTGCTTTTCCTCCTCCAGGCCTTGGCACAGCTGTTCTCTGATCTTGGAATATTCTTCCCAGTCCCAGGCCTCCTCCAGCAGCCAATACCTAGTCATCTTGCCAGCACTCACCCTTACATCGTAACTGTTTGTTTGTTCGTCTGTTGTTCCCTCAGGTTAGCACCGTAAGAGTAGAAACTACACTTGTTCAGGGCTCTTTCCCAGGTGCTGGACAGAATCAACAGCAGCTCTTGGTTACATCTGAACAAATGAATGAGAACTGACTGGTCCAGTATGGCCCAGAAGAAGAGCCAACCCCTTGGAAGCTCCTCCTCCTGCCCCAGATTGACTCATCAAGTCCCAAGGACTGAAGATGTGGCTTTGGGGGTGGGTGGGGGAGGGGCTGCTATCAAACCCTCTCTGGCTCAGAAAGCTGTACAGCTACAAGCTCATGGTTTGTCATTAGACAGATCTGAGTCCACCACTCTTAGCCCCATAACTGCAACTCTCCACTCAGATTTTCAGTTTGTCTTAAAACATATCAAGCACGAATCCACAACAAATATTATCTCACACCCAGCACAAGACCTCTGTTGCACTGCTCACATTCTAGTCTTTCCCAAGTCAGTCAGTTCATTCCTTTATTCAACACGTGTAACCACATTCTGTGTCAGACACGGTGCCGGCCTACCCCACTTGTCAACATTGCTCCAAACATTTTAAGCCCCAAGGGGGCTAAGACGATGTCTGTGCGGTCCCACTGTGCTCTGTCCATACCCCACCCTTTTCTCTCCACCTGGCATAAACCGCTCCAAAAGAATTTGTTTCATGAATTAATGATAGCTCAAGCAACGCACTGGTGGTGTAAAACCTCAGCAGTGATCCACCCACCGGCCCGCGAAAGGCTGTAGGAACACATCAGGTTACAAAAGCTGATTGCAAGAAGCTAGATACTCTCACAAGTCATCCCCAGGGTATCAAAAGTGTCTCGCAAATACCGGGACGCAAATTTCCAGCCCGGCGTGGAGGGGGCCTGAGCGTCCGGTAAAGGTCAACCGGGCTTCCGGGAAACCTGCCCCGGTGCCGGAGGCCCAAGGAGACCTGAGGCCGCAGTCCGAGGTTCGAGAATTACTTACAAGGACAAAGGAGACCTGGGAGGGTGGAGGAATTAATCCCAACCGTCTCCTGGGCCTGGGCCTGGGAGAGCGTGAGATCCAAGTCCAGGTATCTACCCTTCTCCCTCCTCTGAGCTCGGGTGCCCTGCTCCTATCCCACCACGGTCTCGTCGGCGTCCGTCCTCACCACGTGCCTGAGGCCGAGATGTCCCGGCCGCAGACAGTGGCTGGGAGTCCAGACCCGGCCTCCGCGCCCCAGGAAGAGACGCGGTCAGGACTGGCCGGGGCCGGAACGAACACTCGCGATCACCCCTCCGCTACTTCGGAGGTCACGGCTAGAACCGTCACTGTGGCCACGGGCGCCCCTGCAGCGCTCGTAGGGCAGGAACTCGCCGCCGGAACCGGTTGCTCACCTGCGCCGCAGCCCGCACTCTTCCGTCCGGCTCCTGCCCGCTCGCCCGCCCGCTGCACCGACGTCGACACGCCCACAGGCCCGTGGGCCTCGCCGCGGGCCCCGCCCACCGGCTCCCGCTCTCCTAGAGCGCTGGGATTGGCTGAGCTCCGGCCAAGGACTGGAGGAAGCTAGACTTTAGCAAGGGGCCCCCGGGCGCCGAGTGGGTACCGCGCCCCCTAGTGGTCAGGAGGTCTCCCAGTGACGTCACTACGGGCTTTTCATAGGGAGAAAGTGGAAAGTTATTCATTTATTCAAC